GGCTTCAGGAGCTTCTTTGTTTTGTTATCCTGGACAATAGCAGCATTTCCCTGCTTGAAAATAGGGATCTTCAAGGAAATTGTGACATCCAGCATCACTCCCTGTATGAGCTCCTGGAAAGCTGCACACAGCAGCACAAGTTTAGCAGCAGTAAAACAGCATTCACACAGCTCAAAGCAAAGGAAATTCCCTAATTTGGTGCAGTTTGCCTGAGAGCCAAGGTAATTTCCACAGCAAAACAGAGCAACTTCCAGGCCCCTGCCTCAGCTGTACTCACAGGATGGCAAACATAAAACATTTCAGCTCTCCTCATGTCAGCTACTGCCCAAAATCAAACTTAAGCCCAGATAAATTCAGCTTCTTTCTAGGCACATTTTGCTGTGGCTTAATAATTTTATGGCAAGGTATCAGTGGTACCTTCCAAGTAATTAATACAAAATTGAGCTCCCTAAACTTCACTCATGGGCAGACCTTAAGTTATTGAGGTTATCACAAACATCCCCTGCCAGGAGAAACCCAGACATAAAATTCCACCCCACCCACAGTGGGGGACTGCACAAAGACATCAGAAATTCATCCTCAATGAAAGGTGGAGCTGCTTCAGGATGGACCAGCAGCTCCATGTCCCCCATTGCAGCTCCTGGAGTCCAGGCATGACAATCCAATCCAAAACCAACCTTTTCCATTTTCATCTGTGCCACCACAGCATTTTAAAACCAGATTGCAATAACAGCACAAAGACCCAGAGGGCTACATTATTTGTGAGGCATGCTTTTTTTGTTGGTTTTTTTTTTGTTTTGTTTTGTTTTTTTTAGGTAGCAGAACTGTCTTTCACCACACTCCACTGATCAAGCATCTTTAAAGCTTCTTCTGTACCCAACTAATCTGGGAAACTGGACATGTACACACACAGATCATCCTGACACTCACTATTAAGGGTCAGCTGAATATTTGTCTCAATGTTCTGACACAAATTTACAGCACTGGAAACAATTTTAACAAATCCTGAACATGGACAGGGAGACACTTTGTAGCAGGTTCCATGTCAGTGCAAGGTCACATAAACTGAATTTAGGACAAGCACAGCAGGATGCAGCTGCACCCTGCAGCTTGAAAGAGTTTTGAAACATAGAAAATACATTTATTCTCTTGTTTCAGTTAGTGATGAGCTAAACATCCTCCCAGAATGGCATTACAAAGCACACAACCTGTGGATGCAAAATGGAAGACTGTGAAGGGTAACACCACTTCTACAAAATTTGTGACAACCAGCAAGCTTTTTTCTCTGATTTTACCATTCATCAAACACTGTAGCTTTATCAGCTGAGGTGTTGTAAACCAGCTTAGAAAACAGATTTTTTTCTTTCTCACTTTAAAACCCACAATCTCTCCAGAAACAACAGGGACAACTCTCTAATCCAGCATCGTAACAACAATTTTTCAACGTTAGAGCTCACAGTAAATGATGCTGTGAGGGTGGCAAAAACTAACCACTGGAAGAGGTTACTTAAGAACGAGTTATCTCCATCACTGTGGCTTTAACCAAGATCAGCTCTTCTTCTGGAACTCGGGGCCTCGATTCAGAAATTGGACATCTCCCTCTGGGTTGCACTAAGCAAGTATTCAAGACAAGACATCCAAACCACAGCTCACTCAGTGACTGAAGGGCCCTGCAGGCCGCAGGGCACCCCACGGCACATCTCAAACAAGGCAGATTTGATCCCGAGACAAGTGAAACAGTGCAACAGATCACCGAAGGTCTCAGAACCGAGCCGGGACTGCCCGTGCCCCAGAGCCCAGCCAGGCCGCCCCGCTCCGCAGCGATGCCCAAGCCCAAAGCCGAGCACTCCCCTCGGTCCCCGCTCCGGGCTGGCGGCGCAGAGCCCGCGGGGCGCCCTCGGCAGGGCGGGCACAGCCCCGCTGGGCAGCCGGGCACGGAACCCCGAGCCCTGCGCGCCGCCAGCCCCGGCAGAGCGGGGACAGAGCGGGGGCAGCGCCGAGCCCGCCCCGCCGCATCCCCCCTGCCGCCCGCGCCGCGGCCCGCCCCGCCCGGAGCCTACCTGGCAGAAGCCCCGGCAGTAGGCTCGGGACGAGGCCTCCGACACCTCCTGCTCGCGCAGCTCCGTCTGCAGCTGCCAGAGGCGGGCGCGGAGCGCCGGCACCACCCGCGGCACCTCCGGCCGCGCCGCCGCCTCGGCCTCCGCGTCCGCCATCTGCACCCGGCCCCACTGCGCGTAGGCACCGCTCACGTGACCCCGCCGCTGACCTCATCGGTCAGGGACGGCGGCACGTGACGCGCGCACGTGACGCGTCGCCGCGCGGGGCGGGGCTGGGAGGGGAGCGGGCGCGCGCCCCCGCGCGCCGACCCACGTGACGCGGCGGCGGCGCGCGCGGCCCTCGGCGCGGAGGGGGCGGGGCCACGGCGCTCGCCGGCCCCGCCCTCCCGGCGCCGTGAGGGCTCCGGGAGCGGGGCAGCGGCACGGCCCGGAGTGACGGCCCCTCTGCCATAAAGGTGACTGACTGCAGGGCTAGGAGACTTGAAATATGATAATGGACACCGGCCAGAGCCGGCTTTTTAACTTAGACTGCCGTTACTCTAATCTCCCAATAACAGCACGGTGTCATAGCAGAACGTTCGTGTCTCTAGGATACACCTGAGGAGGGTGTTGCTCAGTCACGGGAACGGGGAGGATGGTAAATGGCTTTTACCAAAAATTTGCAATGTGTCTGTTGAGATGAGTGGCTGGGCCCGTGGATTGGAGTAGATCTCTGTCCTTATCTCAATTAATTAAACGTATATTTTCTCCCCACTTCACATTCATGAGGGGACTGACAGACAGGCTTTAGTGGGACCCTGGCATCCAGCCAGGGCCATTCCACTACAGGAAGGGAAGGCAAGGCAAGGCAATAGAGGGGTAAACAAAGTCAAGACAATTCAAGAGAGGGATAGGCAAGGTATGGCAAAGAAGTGTTTGGCAAGACATGGAAAGAAGGCGTAGGCACGGCTTGACAAGTCAGTGAAGTTCTAGGCTCTCAGAATCTCTGCTTGTCAGAGTTACTCTGAGATACGTACAAGTCTCTTTTTCCCAGCCCAGAGTCGAATAAGGAGTCAGGATTCTTCTGTTCTCATTCTCAAGGTTGTTTATTATTACTTATCCATAACATTCTTCCTCTGACCTGCCGAGGTCTGTCTGGCAGGTCGGGTTGAGGCACCCAGACCGCCTCAGAGGCAGTGTTGTGTTTTTATATTAAAGACTATGTGTACATTATTTACAGTAACTTCCCAATACCTATCACCTTTGTTAGACAGGGATTTTCTACCTTAAACCAATCCAAAACTGCCAGCATTACCCAGAAGATGGAGGCAAGGAAGAAGAAAGAAGAAGGACAGGGTACACCCAAATTCCTCCATCTTGGGACCCCAAGCCCCCATTCTAAAAACCTCAAAAATCTATTTTTCACCTTGTGACAACCTAACTGCTATTCTGCTTAAACTCTTTTGACTTGTAATAGGTTGGTAATTGTTTTTCCATGGGTCAAAATCAAAGGCACAGGGGTGGCTTGGGCTCTGTGCCAAGGTCTCTGAGCCCCCGGGCAGGGTCTCAACTCCTCCAGGGCAGCCAGAGGAATTTCCTGGGTTCCCAATCAGCTGTCCCCATGTCCCTTCCAGGCATTGCCTGCTTGCCCAGCCCCGCGCTTCCCGCCCTGGGCTCCGTTCGAGCGCCGTTACCGGGCCCGCCCTGGGGGCCCTTGGGCGGGCACGCAGCGCCCCCTGCTGGAGCTCTGAGCGGCCGCGAGGTGGCGCTGTGCGCTCGGGAGAGAGGGCACTGCCCGTGGGGTGACGGCTTTTGGTTGAAGTTTTTATCTTTTTTATATTTTTCAGGTCCTGAACTGCATCAGTGTTACTGTGGGACACGAAATAACGCGACGCGGACACGCAGTTTTTTACAAGGGTAAAAGAGAATATTGAATTTTTGACTCCAACGTTTATAGATTCTCAAAAGTGACAGTGACACTGGACAAACCAACAGTTCATCAAATTTTTTGTTCTTCTATAAAAGAATGCAAACCAATAAGTTATTTACATAAAGTGTGTGAAAAAGTTTGTTATAAGAATGTAAATATCAGAAAGCTTAGAAAAACTTAAAAAATCAAGACAACACATCAGTGTATTACACTGGACTCCATATAGAGTGTTAGTAAGCTCAATTGGCTTTTCAGTGGTGCTGGGTGAGGTTTGAGAGTGCTAAAGAGGAGCTGTAGCTGCCTAAAATGGTTTGGGGTGATGTTGGGAGGGTTTGAAGGTGGGTTGGGGGATCTGGGATGGTCTGGCTGTGAGGGCACTCGGAAGGTGTTTGATGGTTCTGAGGGATGCTCCCCTCTCCAGTTCCTGGCTTTTCAGTGGTGCTGGGTGAGGTTTGAGAGTGCTAAAGAGGAGCTGTAGCTGCCTAAAATGGTTTGGGGTGATTTTGGGGGGGTTTGAAGGTGGGTTGGGGGATCTGGGATGGTCTGGCTGTGAGGGGACTCGGAAGGTGTTTGATGGTTCTGAGGGATGCTCCCCTCACCAGTTCCTCTAGAGCACCCCTAGGCACGGGGAGGGGAAACCTCAGCATTTGGGGGCACCTCTGGGAGTCACCCCAAGTGGCTCATGGTTATCACCTCCTTCCCTTTGCATTTCCCACCCTCATGGTTATCACCCTCCTTCCCTTTGCATTTCCCATCCTCATGGTTATCACCCTCCTTCCCTTTCCATTTCCCACCCTTTCTCCCTTGTGTTTCCTGCTCTTTTCCCCTCATGCTTCCCACCATTTACCCCCTTAATTGAAAGCCTTAAAATAGTCTCAGAGAGGTGGTTTTGATGACTTAATCCTTAAAAGAAGAGAAAAGGAGGTTTTCTCGATTTGAAGCCCTCTGTTCCAGATCCCCCTTCTTTTTCTGTGGTCACTGGGATGTACTGGGAGGGACTGAGGAGAGACTGAGGGCACTGGGAAAAAACAGACTCAAATTTTAAGAAAGTTTTTATTTAATTCCAGAATTCTCTCAGTTTTTGAGTTTCCCCTCCAATTTTGCATGCTCCACCCAAATCCCCCAATTTAGAGGAGACGCCCCTCATTAGCAGCCCCCATTAATGAGGCTGGGGGGGAGGGCAAGGGGGAGCTGGACTCCCTCTGTGCTCCTCCCCCCACCAAACCAATGTGGTTCAGACTCATTTCACAGAAATTTGGGGGCAATTTCATTGAAATCAGGAAAAGTTAACATGGGGAAATCCCCCAATATGGGGGTGTCCTCCCATCTGATACCGGGGAGACCCCGCCCCGCTGACGTCACTCGGCGGTGTGGGGGGGGCGATGGGACCCCCGGCGGCTCCTCAGGAGCAGGCGGAGCTGTGGGAGAGGGAAGGCTCAGGGAGGTCCCCAAAACACGGGGTTCTACCCCAGAATGTGGGGATGTCACCCAGTGATCCTGAGACAGGACCCCAAGGTTTGTGGGGCTTGTGAAAATGAGGGGGTAAAGCAGCAGAACTTTTGGACATAGCAGCGGGGTTTTGAGGCCAAACAGTGGGATTTTGGGGTTCCGGGAGCAATTCCAGGCATTTCCCCCCATCAGCAGGAAGTTTTAGGGTGCAGTGGGGTTCTGGGTGTGAAGGTGATCTGGGGTCAGAGGTGATGGTGGGTGCTGGGGATGGTGCTGGCTGTGAGGGTGATCTGGGGTGATGGTGCGGGCTGTGGGGGTGATCTGGGGTGCTGGGGATGGTGCTGGCTGTGAGGGTGATCTGGGGTGATGGGGGGTGCTGGGGATGGTGCTGGCTGTGAGGGTGATCTGGGGTGATGGTGCGGGCTGTGGGGGTGATCTGGGGTGCTGGGGATGGTGCTGGGGGTGATCTAGGGTGATGGGGGGTGCTGGGGATGGTGCTGGCTGTGAGGGTGATCTGGGGATGGTGCTGGCTGTGGGGGAGATCTGGGGATGGTGCTGGGGATGGTGCTGGCTGTGGGGGTGATCTGGGGATGGTGCTGGGGATGGTGCTGGCTGTGGGGGTGATCTGGGGTGATGGTGCTGGCTGTGAGGGTGATCTGGGGTGATGGTGCTGGCTGTGAGGGTGATCTGGGGTGCTGGGGGGTGCTGGGGATGGTGCTGGCTGTGGGGGTGATCTGGGGTGCTGGGGGGTGCTGGGGATGGTGCTGGCTGTGAGGGTGATCTGGGGATGGTGCTGGCTGTGGGGGAGATCTGGGGGTCTCACCTGGTCTCCGGGGGCCCCCGGGGGCAGCAGGCTCTGGGGCAGGTCGTGCTCCAGGTTGCGGGCACTGGGGTCGGCACCCCAGGCCAGGAGCAGCCTCACGAGGGGCTCCTGGCTGGGGGTCCCAGGTAGTGCTGCTGCCATGTGCAGGGGCGTGTTCCCGTGGGCCTGAGGGATGTGAGGGGGCTCAGGGTACCCATGAGGTACCTCAGAGACCCTTGATACCTCCAGCCCCCCCAGACTCTCCACAGACACCCCAAAGCCCCCAGTGGCCTTTTGATCCCTCTGAGCCTCCCAGAGCCCTTTCACACCCCGCAAACCACTACAGGAACCCCAAAGAGCTCCACAGACCCCTCCAATCAGCCCCAAGAGGTCCACAGGGGTCCTCCAGTCCCAAGTGCCCCACAAGGCCCTAGAGAGAACCCAGAGCCCCCCTCAGAGCTCCCCCAGCCCCTCAAACCTTGATGTTGATGAGGCGGGGGGCCATGCCAGGCTGGCGCAGCAGCAGGTGGGCCAGGGCAAGGTTGCCTCCCCGCACGGCCATGTGCAGAGCTGTCAGGCTGCTTTTGGTGTCCTGGGGGCAAAACAGGGCTCAGGGGGGGTCCCACAGGAGCTCTCACACCCCTACAACCTCCTCAACCTCCCCAAAGGGACCCCAGGAAATCCCAGTGCCTGGGAGAACAGGTTTATCCAGCCCATGGGGACCCTGAAGGGACACACAGGTGTCTTTGAGGGGCACACAGGTGTCTTTGAGGGTCTCACACCCCTCCCCAACCCAAGGTACCCCAAGGGACCCCAAAGGACCCCAAAGGCCAGGAGCTCAGGTCTGCCCAGCGCACAGGGACCTTGAGGTGGGACACAGACATCTTTGAGGGGCACAGAGGTCTGTGTGGGGATCTGAGGGACACCTGGAGAGTTGTGGGGTACCTGGGAGTCTTTGGGGGGGTCTGTACCTGGCTGCTGCTGTCTGCCCCCATCTGCAGGAGCAGCTCCACACAGCGGAATCGGTCCTGGGGAGTGGGGGACCCCCCTCCAGAGCCCCCTGTGGGGCTGTGCCCTCCCTGCAGGGAGGCGTTGTGGGCCAGGACAGCGCAGTGCAGAGGGGTCTGGCCTGGGGGGAACCAAGAGGGGTTCAGGAAGGGCACCTCCCCCAAACAGGGCCCCCCTGGAATTGGAATCCTCCTAGGGACCCCCTCAAAGAACAAACACACCCCCGAGACTCTCCCACCATCACCCAGGACCCCCAGACTGGAGATCCCCCATCCCCCCAAAACAGTGATGCATCCCACCAAGAGCTACCAAAAAATGGGGATCCCCAGTGTCCCCTTCAAACCAGGGACCCCCAAGCCCCTCCGTATAAGGTACCCCTCAAGTGGGACTTTCCCAAGACACTCTGAAATAGGGACTTGTCAGAGACCCCAAATCAGGGACCCCTGAGTCCCCCTCCCATTGGGGACCCACCAACTGAACTCTCCCTGGTCCCACCCAAACAAGGACTCCCCAAGAATCACCCTCACCCCAAAACCAGGGGTCCACCCCAAGCCCCTCCACCACCCTTGCCCCCCTCAAATTTGCTCACCCTCAAAATTTCTGGCCTCCACGTTGACAGGAACCCCCGAGGACATCATGGCCTGGGAAGGCAAGGGGGAAGATCTGGGGTCCCCCTGGATACCAGGAACCCCACTAGGCCGGTTCCCTGGTCTCCCAGGACAACTGTGTCCCTTCTGGACCCACTTTGGGGTCCCCTTTGGGAGGGTTTTGCGGTCCCCATGGGGTCGGGGTCTCACCTGGAGGATTTGAGGGTGCCCGTAGGCTGCAGCCAGGTGCAGCGCCGTGCGGCCCCCGTGGTCAGCGGCGTCGGGATTGGCCCCCAGGACGAGCAGGTCCCGCACAATCTCCGGGGCTGCGGCTGCTGCTGCCACCAGCAGGGGAGTCTGGGGACATCAGTGCGGGGGTCAGGGACAGAATGAACGGGGGGTCAGGGGGGACGTGAGTCACTCCTGGGGGGAATTAGATGTCTCGGGGGTAAAGGGGGTCTGGGGGCTCTTGCAGGGAAAAAAGGAAGGTCAGTGAGATCTAGGGGAGTCAGGGCTGGCTGGGGGGCATCCAGCACCCCTGAACCCTCAAATTATCACTCTGGTATTCTGCAACTGCTCTGCCCCCCCTTTTCATTCCTTGATCATCCCCTCATTAATGATTTGTTATTGATTGCCCCTTCATTGCCCTTTATTGTACTCTAATTACACCATCACTAATCACCCCTTATTACCCCCCAGTATTAATTCCCCCTTTATTATCCAGCACTCCCTCTATTATTAGACTGCAACAGAACACTGTGATTAATTATCCCAGAATTAACTACCCCCCATTATTAATTACCCCATCTTTTTACCTCCATCACCCCCTTGTTGCCTCAGTAAGACCAACTTATTACCCCTTCTTTACCAGCAATGTCCTCAACTTTCTCTTGCACTTCTAGCTTCCCCTACCCCCACAGCTTGCCCAGCTGCTCCTGCACCTTGATCTCCTCCAGATGCCCCCCAGGTGTGTCCCCCCCTCACCTTGCCCAGGTGCTCCCGCACCTCAAGTCCCCCCAGGTCCCGCAGAGCCTCGGCCGCAGCCCGGGCGAGCGCCCAGTGCCCCCCGGCACAGAGCACGTGCAGCAGCCTGGGGATGGAGCAGGGTTACAGGGGACCCCCTTGCCCCTCTACCCACCCCCCACCTTCCTCCCAGGACACAGACCCCACAAAAGGACTTGGTCACCCCATAGCTCCTCCCAGTGCCTCACAACTGCCCCTGGGGCCTTCCCAGCACTGCCTTGTCCCACTGATTCCCCCATTGCCTCCCTGCTGACCTCCACATTGACTCTCCTATTTACCCCACACTGATCTCACCCACAGACCCCCTTCATCCCATTGCCCCCCACTGAACACCACATTGACCCCACTCACCCCATTGCCCTCCCATTGCACTGCTGTGGGCCCCACTGACTGTCCTTCACACCAGTGACCCCCTAAACTGCCCCCCCATTGGCGCCCCCCATTTGCTCCAATTTAGCCCATTGACCCCTGTACCCCGTTATGGCCCCCATACCCCCCAGTGCCCTCCCATGGCCCCCCATTCACTCACGTGTCCCCCTCCTCGTCCTGCCGCAGCAGCTCGCGGGGGTCTTGGCCCCCCAGTGCAGCGCGGGCGGCTGCCAGGTCCTGGGGTTCAGGATATGGGTCTTGGATCTCCCTTCCCAGCAGGGAGGCCCCAAATTCTCCCCACGGCACTGTGGGATGGGGCCAGGCAGGGCCAGGGATGGCAGCAGCCTTGGGGGGACAGCAATCAAGGTGGAGGGGGGCTTGGTCCCAGTTACCCCTGCCCCAATGATCCCCCCCACCATTTTCCTCCCCTTGCCACCCCATTGCCCCCATCTACATCATCTCCCCCATTGCCCCTCCACTGTCCCCAATTGCTTCCTTCATTCCCTCCCATTGCCTCCCTTAACCATCCCATTCCCCCATGTAACTCTGCATTGCCCAACCATTCCCCTCCCAGTTGTCTGCCCCCTTGTCCCCCCCATTTCCCTTCCTTTATCTCCCATTCCCCTCCATTCTCCCCCCACTGCCCTCTCATTTTCCCCCATTGACCCCCATTTACCACACTGCCCCCCCTTGAACCCCCCAGTTCATTCCCCATTTCTCCCCCGTCCCCTCGAACCAGCTCACCTGAAACCCCCTGGGACCGGAGACCCTTCCCTCATGGGCCCCCCCCGGGCTGCCATGGGACACATGTGGGACCGCACAGAGGCCGGGAGTCACCGTGGGGACAACGGGCCAGGGAGCGCCTGAGGGGACACCGGGTGATGGGGGGGACATGGGGACGGACTTGGGGAGGGAGTGGGAGGGGAAGGGGGGACGTAAGGATGGGGGAAGCATGGAGAATATTTGCAGTGCACAGGGGATGTGTGGGGATCTGGGAGGAACTGGGGGGTCGCAGGTCACTCACCATCCGAGGGGCGCGGGGAGGGCAGAGCCAAAACCTGGGGGGAGAGCGAGGGGGTCAGGGAGGAGAGTGGAGGTGCCCCCGGGGGAGGTGTCACCTGGGAGAGGGGGTCACCCACCGGGGATCTCGCCCCTTCCCTGCTCTTCTGCTGCCGTAGCTCCTTCAGCAGCTGCTTCACCGTCTGCGGCGGAGCGGCGCGGGGGGGACCTGGGGGTGTGCAAGGGAGGGTTCGGGGGTCCCCGGGATGACGGGGAACCCTGAAAACTCCTAAAACCCCGCCAAGCGCCCAGGCGTCCCCTAGATCCCCGTGTCTCACCCAGACCCTGTTCGGGGGTCCCCCCCGAACTCCTGAGACCTCTCAAACCGCCGTGTCATAACCGGGCCCCCCGGGACCCCCAAAGCCCTGGGCACTCCCCCAGCGAGGCAGGAATCCCCCTGTCGTGACGTCACGGGGATTCCCATGCGTCACCGCCCGCCCCCGCCGTCCCCGCCCTCCTCCCCGGGGAACCCCCTCCTCCCCCGCGGGGAGAATCCAGCGGGGAGGCCCCGGGAGTCCCCCCGCTCCTTCAAGGCCAGTGTCCCCCCTACTCCCCCCCAGGTCTCCTGAAGGGTCGGCAGACCCTTCTTGGCTCTCTTAAAGGGCCAGTGTCCCCTAAAAGCGAGGCTTAAAGGGCCCGTGTCTCCTACAAGCAGCTCTTAAAGGGCCAGTGTCTCCCAAAAGCAGCTCTTAAAGGGCCAGTGTCCCCTAAAAGAGCGTTTTAAAAGGCCAGCGCGCTCTCCCAGGTGTTTTAAAGGGCCAGCACCCTGTTCCAGAACGTTTAAAAGGCCAGCGTCCCCTCAAAGCGGGTCTGAAAGGGCCCGCGACACCCCCCGCCCCCAAACCCCCCAACCCACTTATCCCCCCATACCTCTCTGGGGCCGCATCCCCGCGGGATCCGGGGGCAAATGGGGCCGGGGCGGACGCGGGGACCGTTTTGGGGGGACTTGGGCGAGGAAACCCCGCCCCGGAGGGAAACGCCACCAAAACGCCAACGCTGTCACTGTTGCGACGGGTGACAAAGCGGGGGGGCGGAGCTTCGGGGGGGCCCAGGGGACACAGAGGATGGGTGAAGGTGGCGGAGTCACCCCGGGGCCGGGGTCCTCTGAGGGGGTGTTGGGATGGGTCACAGCTCCTGGGTTGTTCCCTTTTGGCGTCATCAGCAGCGATTTGGGGCGACAGTCTAGGGTCCCTCTCAGCCCCCATCATTTTGTGTGGGTCTTTGCCCCACTTGGGGGACTCTCTTCCCCATGCTAGGAGGGGGCTCTGGCTCCCCAACCCCAGAAGATCACGAGACCCACGAAGACCATGAAGACTGTGGAGACACCAGGGCTGGTGCCTTTACTGGGGGAGGGACCAGGGCTGTCCCCCCAGGCACAATTTGCAGGATGTCACTGCTCCCCTCCATACCCCCCACTTGGGGGGTGTGGGATGTGTCTTACCCATCTGGGGGCATCTCTGCCCCATTTGAGGGAGGCTTCTGACCCATTTGGGGGTGGCATTTAGGATGGGGGGGCTCAGCCTGATTTTGGTGGGAGCCTCTGACACATGGGACCCCCAACTCCAGGAAACCATGGGACCCACTGAGACCATGAAGACTCCTGAGGCCACCAAGGCTGGTGGATTGATTGTGGGGGATGTCACACAGCAGGGAGGTTCCCTCCAGGGGCCTGACTGGGGGGGGTTGTGTGTCACATGTGTACTTTCTACTACACAGGTCCTGAAGCCTTACTCAGACAGGCAGCTCCATTCTCTAAATGCCAGAACACCCCTGCCCAAAGAGCTGGAACAGCTGGAGGAACAGCAAAGCACCCTGACCAAAGGCTGTGGTTTATACAGCCCAGTCTCAGTGGCTGCACATTTGCTGCCCCAGCCCATCCCTTCCTGCAGCCTCTCTTAATCCTTGGCTCCCTTGTACCTCCTGAGTACAACTGCAGCTCCCAGGTAATCCCATCTCCCTTCCTCTGGCCCCAACACAGACACTGACCCTGAGCCCAGCAGATGGATACAGAACAGGCAGGAAAGAAGAAAAAAAATAGAGAGAGGAAGCCTTATAAAGTACACATGGAAACTTGAAAATACAAAGAGAAGCAAGGTCAGGAGAGAACTAAAAGCAGGCACAGAAAGCTACAGTACCAGTGTATGTGTATAAACAAAATTTTACAGACAATTGATTAAGAGAGGAAAATAGACAGCAAGCTATATAAAAGTATACAGAAAATACAAACTTTTAAAGTTAAGGAACTAAGAGAGGAATGAATTAAAAACTATCAAGAGTGAACTAAGATAAAGACAGAAACTGTGAAAAAAACCCTTACACTTTCTGATATAGGCCAGGGCACCTTCAGAAATTTTGCTTGTGAAAGTGAAAATATAAATGTGCACCTACTGATTTGCATGTGTATCTTAGCAATAAAGAGGGAATCTATAACATACCTACTGATTTGCATATGTATCTTAGCAATAAAAACTGAATCTCTAAGGCAGCACAGAAAATACACTAATTTGGAGAGTATGATGTGCTTCAGTCTTCATGTGGTGATCTCTGGTCTGCCTTCAAACCCAGTACTGCTGAATCTGGTGATCCTAAAGACAACATTGAGTAGTTCAGTTGTCCAAATTTCTCATTGTTGCAGTTTATAATTTGTGGTCCTCTTTCACTACTGAAAGAAAACTGTGAGAGTGAGTTCATGTTAGCCTGAAAACGTGTAGGACACATCACTGATGTTTGTGCCTCTGCTCATCCAGCTGTCCATTGTGGGTCAGACAGACAACAGGAGAAAATAAAAATCAATTGTACACATAAAGTGCACATTATTGATGTAGGGAAATGAAAAGGCCTTGATCTTCAGAGACTATTTCCATGATTGGAGGGTTACTGTGACGTTTGACCCTAAGCTAAGAAAAATCAATACAGCTATAAAAAATTAGAGAATGTTTTGCAGTGAATAAAAAGCCAGTGAAGTAGCTTCTAGACCTGGAAGAATAATTAATAGCCTCTCCATACAACATTAAATTACTAATTTCTGACTGTTGTTATAAACAGTTTATGTAAATAGTCAGAGTTGCAAGCTGTCTGAACTAAGGTAAAAAGCAGCATCAACACTATAAAATTATTGTTGGCACTTGAATTTATTTTCCCTTGTGAGTTGTCAAGTTGTCATTTAACTGTAGTACCATTTTGAAAGAGATAATGCATCCTGGAACACTGTGGATTGTTACATGTTTTTCTTTTAATATTTAGGTTTTACAGAGCAACTAAATCTCCAGCCATGGCAGCTCAGTCTCACCAAACACTTCAGGTTTTCAAACAAATCTTCATCATCCCTGCACGAGCTGGCAGGTTGTGTGTGTGTGTGTCTGTGCACCACTTCAGCAGAGTTAGAGGGTTTTATTAATAATAGACAAATATTTAGAGACCTACTTTGGGTACTCAAGAGAAGACACATGTGTCAAATCCTGCTTTAAGTACTTCACAGAGATGGCTGGCTGGAGACTGCTGGCTTGCCACAATGATTGAGTACTTTCAGGCAAGCTGTCAAGTGTGAAATTGGACGTGACCTATTGACTGATCTTCAGCACAAAATTAAAAGATAATGATTAGCTTTTTAGAGTTCTCAGCAGAGGAAGCTTGTTCATCCTTTACAGGACATTTGAATAGAACTACACTTTTGCAGAGTGCTGATGAGGATCACCTAAAAGAACATTATAGTGCTGGATATGCATTGGTCCTAGCAGTGGACTTGCACATTAATACCAGGCATGCCTAATGAGGCTGTGCCCTTGGCACTGCACTGCTAATGCTGGCTCCAGAAAACAGTTTTGTACACAAAATAGACCTATTTATTTCTTTTTTCTCCTTTTGTAAAATAAGGTATTTTTCCCTCCCCCTGCCCAACATTTCTTAATGTTTAGAGTGTTTGAAAGGGTTTTCCCAGCTTACCATCAGTACCCAAAATGTTCTTTGAGACCAGACAGTTTGTGACTCTTTTATAACAGAAAATAGTTCAGCCTGTTCTCCCAGTTTTTCCTGCTGAGGTAATGCAGATGAGTGGCTTAAGGTCTAGATTAAAGATGGAACTTGTGTCACCTGGTCAGCTTTTATAGGCTATGTGTAAGGATCACTATCAAGAAGAATGACATCTTTAGTATGTCTGACATTTAAGACAGGAATTATAATGATTTGCTCCCATAAAGAAATACTGAATGGTATGGATGGGAAAATAGAGTAAAACCATTGTCAAGTTCAGGAGCCTTTTAAAGATGTCAGCATGACAAGTATTATGGTCTCAGGAGGATAAATGAGAAGTGCAGAATCACAGAATACAGGAGATGCTGTCTGGGAGCAGGGAGTGAGTCTGGGGTGGCCAAAAGTGCATCCACTGATGTTTTAATGTCAGGGTTGTGCTGCTTAGCTAGAGCAGGAGAAGAGACTGCAGGGATTTACAATGAGAGTGTTTGGGAAGATTTACCTTCTTCTGCACAGGCAAGCTGCATGTCTGCTGCTGGTGAGATATGTAAACTGAAACAGGGTCTGAAAGTTCTGGTTTATTCTGTGTTATTTATATGAGGCTGAGAATGTTCCTAAAACTTAAAGGTGCTATTGAGGCAAGAGAGAAGATAATCTCAACTTAAAGCTGCAGAATTTTTATTTCTAGCTTTTTAAAAGTGAGAATATTTACTGTTCATAGTTAAATTATGCTTGGAGCGTTTGTAGATTGAACAAGAGATCGATTTTCTCCTCCCTTCAGCCCCAGCAAATATAAATTCCATGTGCAAAGCTCACACTCTATTTGCTACTGTAGCAAAAGAAACTGCTTATAATGTGTCAATTTACTCACACAGATGGAAGATGGCAGGGCTTGTAATTTGTTATTGGACGTGGCAGTTTTACATATTTTTGTAAAGAAAGGTATGTTTTATTTTTAATTTACCATTTATTTTTAATTTGTTTCTCTTTAAATGTTTAACTTGCCTATTTGTCTACTGATTTGCAAAAGTATTTTCATGTTTAGAAGGCTTAACATAAAGATTCCTCTATGGATATCAATATTGCAACCATAACATTCCAGTTTTTGTTGACTTGTTAGCACTCCTGTTTTATAGGGTGAAGATGAATCCCATTTGAAGAGAAAATGCTATGCTAGAGCACTTTTATCCTAAAAAATAGCAAAGTAAGATACTATTCTATTGAATTGTGCTGTACATACAATGAAAAGGTGTTTAGCTAGAAGTGCTTAGCTCGTCCCCACACATTAGAAAAATTGTGTTACAATTGTATATGTATACAATAAGATAAATATTGAAAAGGAATTTAAAATTTTGACCACAATGTAGTATTCTGTTAATGGAGAAACAAACATATGAAAGAAAGGTGAGAGGTACAATTATACACACATGTTACCAGTTTATTCAGATGACAGCCATTTAGGAAGATGCTGGTAAAGAATTTTTGTGGAAATAATTTATTTTTAAAGAGTTGTGGCCAAAAATAGTAATGCTTGGCAGTTAGGCACTCTAGTCACTATTTCAAATGCAGGTATCATTGGTCAGAGGAAGTGAACCAATTACAGCAATTCTATTTATTTATTGTTGACATCCATAAACAAAAAGCAAATGTCTGCACAAAATGATATGCTTGAACATGTCTTTTTAATTAATATTGACATTTCCATGAGATGATTTATTCTCTCTTGAGCTCCTTTCTATAACCAATTTTCTCTCTGAAACAGTAATTGGACTGCCATAATTACAGCTGTGACATGGGGCTTGGAACATCCAAAAATGAGGACAAGCAAATATTCCTGTACCTGGATAAGTGACCTAAATATAAATGTACATTGTTATTGGATGATGTTCAAATGGATCACATAATGCTCTTTTAATC